ATAAATCAACTACTTTGTCCACTTGGCGGCAGCAACACACATTTAACATAGAGTATTATACCTTAGTTACAAAGACTTGCCTATTTTGCCAACAACAATAGTATTAAAATAAATGTGGGGTTTTTTGTCCTGACAAATATAAAGTCCATTCACTCTCATTTGAGCTCTTTTTGGTCCCCACCAAGTTCTGAAGAAATGATCTTGCCATTTGCTGCTAAACTACATGCTGGGAAGTACAGATTTGACTGTATTATGTAAAATAGGCTTTAAGGCAATTTAAACAAGAGATAGGAGTAAGGTAACTTGGCTGAATTATTAGATAAAGTACATTATATCATAAATATGGTTATGATTTGTTAAAAACACTGCAAAAAGTTAATTTTGAAATACCATTGCCAATTTGAGGGTAAAAAACAAGAACTATTACAGAGTTGAGAATGTTTGAAGTAAAGTAAACATATATATTTATATGATATTGTAGCATTAATGAAAATATATGAAATAGTGGTTTTCCAGCATAATGGACAGCCATTCCTGTCATGTTAGTGTCACCGTATTTTTTGTCCAAAAATATGTTTTATTCAGTTATGTATGTATATGAATCATGTTTTTTAACTCAAAATACATGTGTCAATATCACCAAAATGCATTCAGCTGCTGTAAGTGAAGATATAATTGTATTGTCTAAATACTCAGCATGAACTGTGGAACGGTCAAAATAGATTTTTAACATGCAATACACACATTTAGTTGCACATTTCCGATTGCCACCATAAATAATATTGTATAAAAGTTACATTTTTCTTTATATGAGTATGTCGTTTATTGTTTTGCTTTTTGTTCAAGTCTTGGCCACCAGATGGCAGCATAATACAGGCCTAAGAACAAGGCAAACCAAAACCGTAATACAATGCTGTCCTTTATACAATTGTAACCATTAAACAGCCCTGTACACACAGGGGATGTTATATCAGTTAGGTATGCACGGTGTGTAGCGCACATCCTTTATTAATTTGTTCACGTATAGAAACATACTTTATGCTTTTATACGATACTTAATTCATTGTATATGGGACAATTATTCCACTCATGTTTGTCTGTTTTTTTCTGTCCCTACAGTTTGATGGAATTTGGCCATGAACACAACCACAACATTTAATGTAGGTGATTAAATCACTTTTTTATTTTTGGTCTAGCTCGTTATCCGCACTATATCTTTTGTTTTGAATATTCCACAGGGTGCAGTCTCTTAACACTGGGGTTTCCTTTTGCAGTCAAAAGCTTAAGCTAAAGCTACCGGTACCATAACTTTGCTCTGTTAATTTTGACTGTTTTTTCAAACTAAAATGGTCCCGACGTCCTCTACAGTGGACATACTGTAACATTTAAAAATTAAATTAAATTAAAAAAGTCTAAATTGCAAGATGTTTTTTTTAACCCTAAATAGGTAGGAAATCACAAAAAAAAGGAAATTGGAAGACACTTTGTTTCCTCGGGTCCCAGGAGGATACAATACATATGACTAAAGGATAACTTAAAACGTTCTCTCTAGAGTTATCTCATCTATGCTAACATGTTTTTGTGTACAGAGCATTTAACCAGGTCACGTAGCTGACTGGTAAACATCTTAAATCACTAAATTGAATAATTGATCTGCCTTCTGCTTAGAGATTCAATTTGACAAAGACAACAGCGAGTCTGGTGTGACTTTTGGAACCAAAACAAGGCTCACTCTACAGGACTTTTTGGCATGTTAATAGCTGAAAAAACCTCAAGCATGATTACTTGAAGGCAAATAAACGAAACTGCATGTTTGTGCACCAATTTTAACCTTTATCGTAACATTGTTGTTTACCGTTTACCTGAGATCAGATGGGGAAATGGAGAGTGTGAGAGCAGTTTCTCACCAGGCTGTCCTTTCGTGACACCGAGGGTGAAAACCTGACTGACACCTTAAACCTCCCGAGGGGATTTGTGGGACTGTGAGTGGAATGAAGGATTAGGGTTTTAGCAGCACATGTAAACGGCGGGTCTGTGGGTCAGTGGGTCAGTATATCAGTGAGTCAGTAGGCTTTTATTTTTCCCAGATTAGGTTAAGCACTCTGCTTTTCTTCAGTGGGGCCAATGCAAGTTCTTCCTGGTGTCAAAGAGTAAGTTTCCAACAGTCTTTGGACATTGATGAAAAGACATTCAAAATAGATTAAAAAGTGTACATTTGTTAAGTGACTATTCAAGACAATGATATTGAACATTCATATTTAGAGGATATTTCACAGGGATCTGCAACTGTTGAATTACTCATCCTCTACAAAATAGATATAAGTATATTGTGTGAAAAATAATAGCCTGTCAGTCTTGGTCTTTTGGAGCATAACAAATCAATTTAATTTGGCATTGCAAGATCCACAGATATTTTCAAGCACATTAAGACCAGCTTCCTTCATCCTCATTGCAAAAAAAGGAAATGTATACACGTCTTAGGGTTTTAAAACAGGCAGATAGTCTTGGTTTTATTTATCCAAGTTTTAGTTTTAAATTATAGTTTTAGTGCTCATCCATCTTGTGCTCCTCTAATACAATGGAGGTAAATGGAAATGTTTTTGTGTCACTGGACACATTAGCATATTAGTTTGAAAAGTGAGCACTGTGGAGAGTGTTCCTTACTTTTTGATTCTGCTTAGTTCCCAGTGAAAACCTGTGGGACTATCTTTGTGGTAGAAAGTGGATAAATGGAAATGGAGGATTTGAATGCTCTTTATATCATCACACATACATCGCACAGCACACATAATGAAATGTAGACTCTGCATTTAACCCATCCTAGTATTAGGAGCTGCTATACACACATTACTGTATATTTACTTGATCCATTTGAGGACTTGAATCACCCTCCGGTTCCCAAGCCAATTCCTTACGGACAAAGCAGAACTGCAGCTCCTCCCAAAATGCTAACATCAACTGGGAAAAGTAATCTTGTAGTCTTAGGTCACTTGTTATCTTAAAGTGTTGAGCGCAATTCAAGAACTACAAATAGTCAAAGTTAGAAACTATCTGGTGAAACTTTTAGAAACTTAAGTGCAAGATATGCTTTTCATTCATTTGAGATGAGTTTCCCATCACTTGTTTTGTGGTAAAAACAAATGGTTTTACCATGGTAGTCAAGTATTACCATTATTTTGTTCAGCACTAATTATTTTCAGTCAGAAAAGTGAGGATGTGATTTCACATTAGAGTTCACCATCACCCCAGAAGGGTGTGCTGAATACCTGGACTGCTTTAGATCAAACCTGGAGGCCTGCATAACGTTTTCAACCAGTAAAAAATGCATTAAGAGAGCTTTACCTGGCATCATACTGAAACATCGCACATAGGGATACTTACATTATCCTTAGGCTAATTATGTCCTTGAAAAAAGTATGTTTCCTTTACTTCTTTTTGGAAAGATTATTTTGTAGTGTGTGTAAGAAGATGTAATGTTTGATTAGTGTGTCTGTGGTAGGTTCATACCTTTGTGAATTGAATGAATGACTCTCACTTTATATTCACAGTGACGTGGAGCTTACAATGCTGAATAGAAAGTTGTGAACCTATAACAATATGTGTAGGTATGTTGCAGTTGTGTGTTTCCTCTCAATTAAAACAATCGTAACACAACACACATACATTTCACGTTTCCTTTGAAGTCATGAACTATTATGCAAGTGCATCGTTTTAAGCAACTAAGAGAAGACAGCAAGGTTTTTTGAGTTCGAATGGAGATACAGTTCAGAGAGATCAGTAGGTATAATGTAGATTGGGTTCACCTGTAATTTGTTGTAATGTTTGCTTAAAAAAAATCCTGCATCAGCCTTGTATGCCTTTGTGGAAGAGGTGCTCTGGACTGCTTTCCACAATCAAACATGTTATGAGAGTGGCTGAGGACAAGGTAATGTATAGGTGGATGTTAATGGGTGACAAAATATTGTGATTGATATGTCATGATTGAATCCATCTACCAGTAATGCACAACGACAGTCCTCAAAGTATATTTGTTATTTTATTCTTGTCATAAGTATTGTTATTCATTACTATAAGAGGACAAACCACAATGGACCAAATATTTTAACATGCTATTGGTGAGTTATTATTGATGTTTAAGTATTTGGTCGAATATAGTTACTCTTATCATAATAAATAATGCATTTGACCAATGGTGAAATAACTCAACCACTAGTGGCTTAGACATTAAAATGTATTTTGTAATATGTATTAGTACAACTTATTTGTTCTGATTATAGTCCAATGTTGATGGTGTAACGACAGCATCGCTGTTGGCTGTCGCAGGGGCGTTGGCAAATGTTGGCAGTAAAGGCCATTATGTCTAGACTGTTTTTATCAAGTTAAAGTCAAGGATTTTAGCAATTGATCTTTCGAGCATTAACTTTGAGATGGTTTTGAAAAAATGGGACATTGGCTAAGGTAAAATAAAAATCATAGTTCACCATATAATGATGTAAGCTTGCCAAAATCAGAAATATCTTTATTGTTTCTTTGATAACTTGATTGTTTATTTCTATATTAATGTTTGAGCTTTGAAAAATGACAGCATGCAAAGAGACTTTGACAACTGTTGACACACCAAACACAGACAGTCCATAAAGCCACTTCCACTATTTGTACGAGCAAACATGCCTTTGACACACAGACAGTGCCAATGTGATGACAGTGCATGCAACTTGTTTCAAATGTTGGGTAAAATTGGAAGTCTGCAAAGAATAACACTGACTTAGCTTTTTAGTAGTGGTTAAATGTATACTCATACTTCTTTAAAAAAATGCTTTGTAAAAAGTGTATAAAAACATATAGAAACTGTGAAACTGAAAATGGTTTATTTTCTCTGCTGGTCAGTTTAAATTGTATCCATTTTCATATTTACCCTTTTTCTTTGTGTTCTAGGGTTGTTGTAATTCTAGCAAAAGAGAATAGAAGATAAAGAAAATCGAAATAACCAGGTAAATTTTAAATATTCATTTATTTATTAACAATATACTTTGCTATAATCATATCATGTCAGCACATTGCGACACACATTTTGCATTGAAGTAATATTACAACTCATACATTATGCTCAAAATATAGCATTATATAAAAATAAAGACAATAATTACACATTTCAATTGACACAAAATTCTAATCCTGACTCCATTTCCACCAGTTACAGTATACAGAAACTCTATATATGTGCTCTGCAAAAACATGCAATACAACGCATTTAAACTCAATTAGAGCTTGAGAAAATAAGATGATTGACATATGCTTTCTGAAGGCGCAGTATCAATAGTTTTCCGTTAGACTTATAAGTAGTAGAACCCTCTAGCAGAATTTGCTCTTAAAATACAGTAGGGTGATAAAGTGCTTTATAAGTTATGTTATGATGGTGCCTCAATGTTACATTGAGTCATGGGATAGAGGGTGCTTGCAAGATAAAATAATACACAATAATACAATTGGTTTACAAGATAATAATACAAGAGAAGCTTTTAGAGGCAACAGATACCTGAAACAAGTTTGTGGGCTATTTGGACATAAATGTTATGAAAAATATTGTGAGGCAAAAAGCCCAAGTATGTTTGCCATCAAAATAACATTTGTGCAATGCCAGTACAATCCACAAAAACTACAGAAAACATCTTTGGCTTTTCCAACACTCGGTGTAAACATAGGCAAGAAGTAAGGCCTGTGACTCAGGAATTTACTATAAATATATTATTATATCTTTGTAGTCCATTTACGATACATTATTGTAAATAATACATTCTTGAATTGACACAACTTTTTGAAAATGTAAAATGTTCCCCATGTGTGTTCCTCCATGTCCGTGTTGCATTGTGAGGCAAAAGTGCTCATTAACTTTAAGCTAAGTTATTTTAGTGTAGATGCTGGCATTTTTCAAAGTATATATCTTACTTAATATTCTTTAGGATTGGACATAGTACTTTTTACACTCACTTATAAATTGTAGGACTATAAATGTGTACTATTGGGTAACAAAGAAGTTGTTTAAAAAAAGAAAAAATAATACCAGATTGCTCCTAATTTACATCATCCAAGAAAACTTTAGACTTTGAGATATTAATGCCAACATGCAACCCCACATGCTCTGTGACCTGCCTCGCAGACCTTCACATTACCTGACACTGAGGCAATAGCTAAATGTTTGCTCACGCTGCTGAGAAATGACCTTAGGTTCATATGCTGTCAGAGATAAAGTTACCCAACTGATTATCCGACTTGTGTAAATAATACAGTGGAGATGCTGATCAAACAAATTTCAACCTACGTGCATCATTGGCTGTGCTCAGACAGAACTTGGGGCTAATTGAACATGGTCAAAGCGTGACAAGTTCAAACACTCACCATAACTTCACAGTACAATTAAAATCTTCTTTGGGTGTAATTCAAAAGAAAAACCCAAAATAAAATACAAAAAAGTTTGACATAAAAAGACAGCATTAGTCAGTAATAATACTCACTAATACTGGATTATCTTTGTGCCTTGACACAAGTTGAAGGCATACTATAAATTAAGGTTATTTTAAAAGCCTCTCTTTAACAGGTCAGTTCTACACCAAATGTTTTTGGACTGAATTCCACTGAAATCCAGCAGCAATTGTAAAATACAAAATAAATAATCTAAATATGACGAAAATGAAAAAGAAAATGCATCTTTAAAATGAACTACAGTGAGGGCATTACATTAATCTCTTAGTGTTTCATATGACCTCCATAAGCAGTGTCTTAAGCGGGACTAATAGCCACTTTACAGCTCTATATTTGGTTTACGATAATATCACAAATATTATTTTGTCTATTGTATGTCTTTTAACGTTTCTTAGTTTATTAACTTTATTTTATAGTGCCTCGGTTTAAAAAAAATGGTCTTCATTGAGACTCAGTGTATAATTTTATTTAGGTTTTAGGCACATTTTCTCTCAAACCCTTCTCTCAAAATCTAATGAGTGACAAACTGTGTGATAAAACAGAAAGATCTCATGGTCTTTATGCCAACTATTAAAAGACAATTGTTTATGTATGTGTAAACTGCTAAATGATGTGTTTTTTTATTATTTATATATTATTTCCACACACTTGTGTGTTTTATTTGGGAAGAAAAGAGTACAAGTAACAGCGTATTTAGAGTTATTTGTTGTCCCAAATAAGATTTACTCCTCCTCTGTTATTATGTATTATCATTCTGTTTGTCTAATTATCCCGTATTAAAAAAGTATTTGTTAACTATAACATATCTTTACAAATCCTTTATGTACATCCACAGGAATCCACTATCATATCAGGGACGTCCGTTTGGACAATGATGTGCTGGGAGTTGAAGTACACCATGGAGAGTGGCCGTCGCTCAGTAGGAACACAACATGAAGATACATCTGCGTTAATGCCATTGACTTTCAGCTGGCTGAAGACAGTGGCATGGAATGAGGATGCTATGCCCGGGGATCCAGCCAGATGCTGGAGGCACTGACCCATGCAGTAGTTCATATGGTAGCCCTCAGGTGCAATGATCCAGTCATTCCACTGGATATCTTTAAAATTGATGTAGAATTCTCTCTTACAGCACACGCTTACATCTTCACCACAACGTACCGAGCGCTTCCTGAGAGAGTGTTTGGAGTGGTCTTCTCGGAGACGCAGCTGGGCAGCCAGGAAGGGCTGGTTGAGGGTGTCGGTAGAGCCATCCAGGGAGCAAAGGTTCTTCCCATCCTCATCGCAGTTTACCTCCAAACGCAGCTTGTGCCGGGCCCCTTCCAGAAAGGCCTGCAAGGTGCGGGTGATGGGGAAGGTGTGCCAGCTACTCACCTTCACCTCCAGCATCTTTTCCATCACCAGGGTGCGGTTAGCTCCTGGCACCCCAGCTTCTGCAGAGAGAAAAACCTGAGCAGAGAGGCGGGAGTCTCTATAGCGGTCCTCAGAGGAGCGGACATAGATCCACAGAGAAGACTGGATCACCTGGATATTTTGGCCTTGCTCCTGTAGAAACTGGAAGGCAAGGCTGAGGCTAGCTGCATCCCCACTCTCTGTCTCATCTATGGATCAATGACATTTTCAGGACAAAGACTGTGATTATTCTGGAAATGCTAGAGACACCTGTTGCACAAGCAATTGGGAAATTAATTTAAAGAAATGCTTATAAAATAAAGCTGCAGGTTTAGGTCAAAATATAGGTCTCCCTCCACCCATTTCATGCATTTATCGTATCACTTTGTTATGGTTGACTCTTAAAATGGTGATGACAGGTAAAGAAGCTGTTACAGTGTTTGAAGGAGTACAACAACCCTAGAGGCTCAAGGAATCCCTGACCTAATTTGTGTTAATGTTAAGCACTGACATGCGTGAAGAGCCCACACCATGCACACATGTGGTGTTTTAGTGCCATAAGGAAAACATATTTAAAGTGTAAAATGAGAATACCAAACTTACTTAGATCTGCAAAGCTCACAATTTCATAGCTTTGATCTTTGGGTAAACTGTTTTCTGGTTCCAAAGTACCATCCTGTCGGACGCGCCCAGAGTGCAGTTTGCGCAGCGCGGTGAGGAGCGCTGCCCGGGGAACCGTCTGAGTGATGTTTGGTCTTTCTTTCAGGTGCAGCTTGTCTAAAAGTTGCTGCTTGACGATTTCTATCATATGCCTTTCTTCTGCGGTTCTTTCCATAGCGGGCACGCCACAGGACGCACAGCCCGGTGATCCACTGACCCAGAGAACTTGCAACAGGAAAAAAGTGAATAAAAAAGAAGGCGTCATCTCCGACTCCAAAGTAAACAAATGCATGCCTGTGTGCAGCGTTAAAAATGAAATATTTTTTCTGAGATTTTGGAAGTCTCAAGTTTCTCAAATGTTTCAGAAGCCCTGTTTAAAAGCTGGAGAACACCGTGAAGAGAGGAGTTGAGGAAAAGGAATGATGTTTGGCCCACCCAATGGTGAAGATATCTGGGGTAATCCACGAAAACTGGTGACACGTTGGAGGGACGCACCAATGAGCGCATTTGGGCACCGATGCTGGCAAAGCATCTGTGTGCCCTGCTCTCACGCAATACCTAGAAGAGATGACAAACGGTATCAATACGACTTCTGCCAATGACACACCTGGTAAATGACCCACTCGCTGCTTTGCATTAACTATTTCGACTGTTTAAAAGTGACTTGATTCATGTTGATAACCTGGATCGTTACCTGCATGCGTTTATAACATGGTAGTCGCCGTTCCCTGCATGCGTTTATAACAGGACAGCTCGTCGCCTGATAGCCAGGGGCTACTGTGCAGGATATACTATAGCAACTTGCCACCAGCCTCGCCGACCAAAGTTGAGATTCAGTTCCCTTTAACCCAGTTACAGAATACACGAGCCACACAGCCATCAAACAATTGTAGTTCAAAACGTGCACATGTGCTGGAGGCTGTGAGGCGGGTGACATCACGTTGCGTCATGTTGGCATATTAGTGTGTGTGTGTGTGTGTGTGTGTGTGTGTGTGTGTGTGTGTGTGTGTGTGTGTGTGTGTGTGTGTGTGTGTGTGTGTCAGAGATGAGCGATTAAGAATAATGACTGTCTCTGTCATGAAGTTGCCTACACAAGTCGTCTTTTTGAGACCACAGCATTTTCTGCATGGGCTTAAAATATTATCCATGTTGCCATAACGTTTTTCTGTGAATCTGTTTAAAGGACATGGCTCCTCCTCATATGACATAGATCTACAGCACACATATTGACCCCAATGTATACCTATATTAATATACATAAAGCCATAACGTGCGTTAATTATCTAAGGGAGCCCAACTGCTATGCAACCAGAAGTAAAAATAATGACTTCTGAAATGCTTTAAAACCTACAAAACATTATATGTTGATTTAACAATTTCTGTAAAATAAAAATAAAATAAAACACATTTACTCAGGACTTTTCATACATTTATGCTTTAGGGTTAAATATGAGGTTGAGCGAAGGTCTTAAAATGGCTTGGAAGAACTTGCCTGCCGACATGTGGGGAACTTTTGTATTGGTGCCTTTGAATACCTGTGTAAAAATTAAAGGTGTATAGACAAAGTAGTACTTTACTCAACACCTACTTTTTTTATGAACTCAATATGAATGTGAATTGTACACTTTAATTACAATTTAGAGTAGCCTATAGGTTTATCTATCTATATATTGTAGGTCCATTCATTATGCAGGATTCATGATATTATTTAACTATGTTTTCATAAAATGATTAAGGTTTAAAATTCATGATGCCTTTTAACCTTTATTGCTTTCCAAAATAAGTATTTTCAAAACAGAAGAAGAAGCACCTTAATGATATCAGAGTCAACTCGCTTTTATTTGCCAAGTGACTCATTCCAATACAAATAAAAAGTAGCCTACTACATTATGACAGATAATGTACTACACATTCAAAATGGTGCATTAAAACTCAACAATGATTGGGACGAGTGGATATTGTAAGGTCAGACCAAACTTTATTCATTTCAAAGGACATTCTTGTGCCAGAATTGCTAAAAAATGAGAACAACGTACGAATAATTGTTTTTACAATAGAGTAATACAAGTACAAAAGTGTATGAGAGGGTAATTCTAACAAAAGATGCATTCAGAAGATAGACAGATGTTCAGTAGTTTATTTATATTTAGTGTGCACAAACGGTATAAACAACTTTACTGTACCCTGAACGTCTCCCTGCGAATGTGAAGTACGCCGCTGACGTAAACTGTCGGTGAGGGAAAAAAGTGACGCTGACACACATACATACAAGCCTGAGCCGAGAAGGGGGAATAGCGTTTTGTTTCTTTTTTCTTTAATTTGTATCCTTTTATTCTTTGGCGTTGTGTTGTTACTTCGCTGTATTCCTGCAACGACTATCAACTGCCTCGCTCCTCAGCTCGTGCTCTCTATAGTTAACGTTCATGCCGCTCTCCCCTCACGCGGCGCTATTTTGACAGTCGGGGTCGCAGCTAGCAGCTCCATTATTTTAGCATTGGTAAGTCATTCGGAAAGCTAGCTTACCATTCCAGCTAGCACCTCCTATGTTAAGACCTGACAGTGCTGCTAGTACAGGTTTACAACAAGGTACGCCTTCCTGTAAACATATGCTTCTTTGTTGGCTAACTAGTTGTATTATACAGGCACAGTTTTGTTAACGTAGGGTTGCTAGCGTACACTGAAAATAAAAGGCTAGCTAGTGGGCTAACATTAGCTAGGTTTGCTAGGTGCTGTAGGTGGCTAATTATACTCGCCGGAGGAAGCAAGCTAATACCGTGAGCTAGCTATTGTTAGCGTGTGGGCAAGCTAATATTTTCAGTCAATTGCACAGCCACGGCTCTGACCATACTGCCATCTGTTTTCTACAGACACTACTTGAAGGATTCTCCACTCGGTACATAGCCTACGGACAGGAAAGCGGTGAGTTTAACCTTTTAAGATGACATGAGATAACTTATATTCGATTATCAGTGATTTTGGGTCAGATATATAACGTGACGTTAAGCACCATCTTTAAAGTCCTCGATCTCCATGCCTGACACGAGATGGCTATGTTAACATTTTATCCTTCTAATCTTAGCTGGGAGACGTGACTGAAACTCGGTGCAGGACTGCGTAACTAGGAATAAAGTGATTAGCGAATTAGCTGGTCTAATCAGAATGAATTTGGAAATTGTTTGTAGCTGTTCGTGGCAATCACGCTGAAAGCCCACCTTAGCTGGTGACAACAAGGTGTTATTTGCTTATTGCCATATCCGTGCTGGTATACTGCATGTTTGTGTCTACTGGTGTTCAGAAACGACAGCAAATAAGGTGCAGATGTAACAACAAATCAGCTGGAAGTAAGAACGCCCCTAGCTTATACTAATAATTGTATGTTTGTGGTGTATGAGGGTCAACTGAAGTGAGCTGATATTTAATTCTGGGCTCTGTTGATTGCATTAAACATTGCATACTTCCGTTGTCATCCTCAAAACTAAAGTAATATTTATCGTCCAAGGTCTGGCTCCGTGAGGCATTTTCTTTTTTTGACTCGGTGTGATAAAACGCACACAATTAAGGAGGATTCAACTAGGAATTAGGGTTTTGTAGAGAAAAAGACTTGACTAATGGCCATTGGTCTTTTGTGTCTTGGCTTTAGCGCAACATGTTGATACTCAAGCTGGAAATGGATGGCAAGACTGTTGTGTCGAACTAGGTGGGATCACACCACAGACTTTCAGAGCTGTGATTACAACATCTGCTCTGGGAAAACAGCATGTGTGTCGGAAAAAATAAATATTCATTACAATAGGTCATTCGTGTGATGCAGCCAATTGAAAAGTGGCAGGCAAGGACTACAATAGATGCATTTACTTTGTAGACTCATCCAAGTAAGTATTACAGGTTAAGAGGTTCACCTACTGAGCAATGTCAGTACTTCTATGGTAAAGCATTGGTATACACACAGTGCTACGTTTTGTACCAGATATGACCTCATTATAGCTTTTTTCTCTTCACCTTTTACTTTGGCAACCTTTCCTTTCTAACTAATACTGAGTAAAATCGCAGGTGAAAGGGTAGTATCATTAAGAAAAGGCTTATCCGTTGTAAGAACTGATGGAGGTGAGTCATTGAATCAACAGTCTGCTGTTGCTAAGGCCAGTAATAAGAAAGATGGCGTATCCTGCCTCCCTGTCAACATGTGTGTGTCCCCCCCCCCCCCCCCCCCCCCATACCAATAAATTGTAAAAACGGATGTTTTGGATGCACTAGGGTAATACTTGAATATGACATTTTATTTGCTTAGTAGTGTGCTTATTGATTTTTTGTTTGTTTGCAGGATACATAACTATTAACCGATCATTATTTATTCATACATCAGTTGAACATGTCAGTTCATGTGTTGCATGCAACCTACTTGCAACACATTACTTTTACTGTATCCACTTCCTACGATCAAATATGTATACAAGCCAAGATGGATGGTGTAAAAGCAATTTTAATGCTGTTTTCTACGGAGTGGTGTAATTTGAAATAGGCAGCTATCATCCCATAAGCAATGATCTGTACTGTTATTTGTCAGCGAGGTATCCATATCTTCTTCTGTCTCTGAATTTCTGTTTGCAGCAGCATAAGCAGAAGAGAGGCTTTTTCTAGAGAGATTTGAAGAGCTATTTATAGATCTCTGCCAGAGCACCAAGCGTGGTGCTGTTGCTGCTGCTCCTATGTCTCTCTTCTCTTAACCACTCCTGCTTCTGTTTCTCTGTCCCTCTCCATCTTTATTCGTCTCCTCTTTTCCTGTTTTCTTGGTTTTCATAGCTCCCATTCTCTTTATGTCTTCCTATGTCAGTCACTGTATCTCAATCCTCTGTTTCCATATTCTTTCTTCTTTTTCTGCTTCGATGTAAATTATTGATCCGAGCAGAAGGGAGGCGACTGGTTGCATGGCCGTAAGCCTATCCACAGACTGTGTATATCTGCCTGATTGTCTTCAATGTAATTGGCTCAAAACTGGAGGGTTTTCATATACTAGTTCAAAAGGTAAACAAACTGAAATCACATGTTGAAATGTACAGTTGAATTTAGTGTTTGAAGGAGTGTCTGTTTTTTCTTTTATTAGAACAGCTTTGAAAAAAACAAACAAAGGTTTTAGAAAGATAATCAACTACTTCATACAAGAGTCCCTTCATTTGATTAGGAGCACACTAGGCCTTGTGTAACCTATTCTAAATGAAAAGTCAATATGAAACTGGTTGTATTTAGTGAAGCCCTGTTTGCTTTGTAAATAATAACCATTTGTATAGTCATTAATTATAACGTTACATCAGTCATGTGTTGCGTGTAGAGACTGCAACATCTTGTGATTGTGTTCAAGAACGGTTTATCTCCGGTATCTTTGGCAACTGATCCTTGCTC